TGAATGTAACAACAAATTATTCCCAGTTTCTTCAGATATTCATCGTAGTATTCGAGTAAAACTATTGATTTTCAAGATCACTTCGAATATTCAATGGTTTTAAGATGTTAACCAGTTAACTGTGGAATTTAGTTGGAAAAACCTCTCGTTCTGCAATAAAATCGAAAAATGTTGAGTATATTTTAATGAAAGATCAACGCGAAACAAAGAAGAATTACATGTATATGTGAGAAAATAGAGAATTCATCGCTGAAAGAATTAGTGTCGTGTCAAGCTTTACGAAGACGTGTATACTCGTCAAACACAGTTAACTGGTTGATAATTGCGAAACAAAATTTCGACTGGTACGGTAGTTCTAGTGTCAATATCCGTTCGCTCCGAGTGGTGAGTCGACACTGACCTTTTCGCTCTCTCGCCTGTTCATGGGAATACCTGGTCGTGACGTACCTCAAACTAATTACCGATCAACGGATCGGTTTTATGACCCTCCGGGGATTACTGCCCCTTTCTCTACCTGGTTCTTCGTTTACGACATCTAACGTATTTTTTCTCAGTGCCCTATCCTGTTTGGATTTCTTAACCCATTTGCATCTTCGCTCTAAACGTGGAGCTTACTTTATAAATCAGATGCTCATCTGAGTTTCAAGCTTTTGATTGAAATTAACCCTTTGCATTTGAAAGGTGACTCAGTAAAAATTGAATATTTAATATTTTAAATTGAAGTCTGTGTTGCTATGTGGAATATTTAAATAAAAGCTTTGTCGCTTAATTTATCTGTGAATTATCGTTAAATTAGTTTCAAACGATGTGTACATCTCGTCGGAAAATGAATATTTCTAGCGAAAAGCTTTCACTCGCCACTTGATCTGACTCCCAAAAATGATAAAATTTAATATTCAATTTTATATAATGTATCGATACATGGAACATCAAAATAAAATAGTTCTGTCCCCCAATTTACAAAAGATATTTCTTTACGTTAGTTGTAATAAATATCATTAATATTTCATCAGAAAGTAATGAATATTTGAGAGAAATATTCTCGAGTGCAAAGGATTAATCAAGCAAGACATAGACAACTAAAAGTTATTGCATGCGGATTATTCCGTTTAATGATGCAAACGAGTTACCTTGGTTTCCATTGTGGTCCAATTTCATATTCATTATTTTTCCTCAAAGAACGTTACATTGTCGTGTTATTGGCGTAGATACAATATAAAAATAATGTAATGTTTCTTTCGATGGATTCGATCCATTCACCCGATCACTGAGAATTTATTCTTAATATATAGCAGGTAAGTTACCTAACTCTGTCAATTATAATTCTTCAAAATTCAGTGTCCAACGATGCGAGTTACATTTACGAAACTCAATATGATATTCGTATTTCGACAAGAAAGCACAATATTGGAAAACCAATGGGCAACCACCTAAGAAGAATTATAACCACAACCTCCATTATCTTAATTAATTAATTTGGTTAACTCTTTGGTGACTCTCAGTCACTTACAAGAATAATAATAACGATTAACACGTCGAATGCCGCACGATTTCATGGTGCAAAATACTTGAAATGGAAAAAATAGAATATTAAATCATTTGATCGAATTGCATTGTTATTGCAGGTTCATCTAGCTGAATCTCACCATATTAGTTAGCATTATTTATAATATAGAAATGTTTTCAAATAATCATGGTTTAATTGAGTAAACTATAGTAATTCGATTTGGGTCACCGGTGACCCCCATGGCATTCAACGTGTTAAAATATTATTTTTGTTTATAGCGCCCAAATTTTAAAGGCTCAAAAAACTTTTGGAAATGCAATACGAAACGATCAAAAGATTTAAGTAAAATCAATGTGACTCAAAGTCACATCGTGGTTCGGGTTGAAAATTGTTTTGTAGAAACAAGAACCGTATTCGATGAATTACAAATAATCCCGCTTCAAGACATACTAAGCGACAAAAGAAAAGATGAACGGAGCGAAAGGAAATTTGTTGCTAAATAAAAAGTGGGAGATCTCTCATTCGATTGACTAAGTGTTGAGATAGTAGAGTTAAGTGACTCACCCTCACGGAAAAATATGTTTCGTCCGCATCCCAGAATAAACTACGCAACCACGAGTCACGGTGACACAGAAAGCAAATAATTGTTCGACGATTGCCTCCCGTAATTAATTTTCAATTTGGAGGCTGATGCTTCGCAGACACACGAAGAAAAAAAACGTTAACACTAAAATGCGTTCGAAATTTGGTAAACGTTTCACTCTTTTCTCGTCCGTCGCTTAATTTTCCGACTAATTAACTAATACATACTTATTGTCACGCGTGTCAGAGTGTCTATCGATACTGTCCACGTTTAATGTAAAAATATACGATCTTCGTTCTACGATTAATTTATTATAAAGGACATCTAGCTCTACTGTCAGTCCTGGCGTGGATATCCCAAACCTTTTCCCTTTCTCAATTCCGTTTCTTTAATTCTTGTCGGCTTAAAACTAATCGATTCATACCCGATGTTCGACTGATCAACGCTTCGGTCGAGGAATGTGAATAAAAGACATATTTTTGTCAGTTTCGTAAAACAATTAGAAAAATGTGCCATAAGAGATTGGATATTTGAAAGAGATTCAATTTGGAACCCTTTCAAATCAAAGATGGCGTTTGTAAATATCACGTGACCAGGGTACGGATGAGACTATATCTAGAAAATATGAAATCAATGTTATTACTTCTTTTTACTTAATCGTTGCAAAAATTCTAGAGCAGGCATTAATGAAGGTTGGAGAAATCGTGTAAGATTGAAAATATTTGTTCCTTACATGTTTTACATTCAATGAAATTGGGAATTTCGAGGTCAATGAGAGCTCGATCACGTGATGATTTACGTTAGTCACGTTTCATGGATAAAATACTGAACTATAAAAGATCAATTCGATTCCGATAGACACCCTGATGTATGCTTGATGGATTTACAGTAGAAACGTAAAGAATACAGAAACGGAAACGATTGCAACCGACAGTATCGGCGATGCGTCTACTAATTACATTAACTCATTAGCTACCAGCGGTCCTTTCAATAACAATCGCTGATTACAATATTTTAATAACACTAGAACTGCCAGATGGGTTAAAATGACCCATTCTTCATTTCTTCGATCGGTTTATTTCGATGAGGATCTCCTCGATTGTAATCTCTTCTTCAATCTAATAAATCTAAAGAAAATATCGAAGAAATGAAACTGGAACAAGTTATATAATTTTAAATTACAATATCTATAAGACTCATTTAATTTGCTTTATGTAAAGCATAAGATTCCGTCCGTCACAAATACGTGACGCTGGTAGCGAACGTGTTAAGTCCATTTCCATAAATTAACTATGACGTAATTTCTACGGATAATCTCTCATTGAGTGTGCTATGAATGATTCTGATATGGACGAATCGCCGAGATTAATTTAAAGCATACCATTAAAAACTTTTAGAACCACATGCAGGGACGCAACAGGACGTTTCTTACATTATTTGCGAGACAGAAGAAATCGAGATGTTAGGATCACATCCCCACCACCGACAAGTTAATTCTCACATAAATTGTTTTTAGAAAATCTGTAAGCAAAAGAAATTAATCCGTTCGCATCATAAGCTCGTATATGCGCGGAATTTTTCTGGCCATTATCAACGAAACTCGCAAACGTGTGTGTAATTTGTTTATCACAAAGAAAGAGGAAACATACATTGACCATTTCAAGTATCATACTGTGCGAAACTATTAGATTTAATTTCTCAAATTATCTCCAATGTGTACATTAACTTTATTCAACTAAATGGAATTATGAATTCTTTGTGTACGCCATTTTATCTTTTGTTTCTTGTGCATTTCGAAATATTTCTATGTTTATACAATAAAAATATAGTTTGGTGATAGGGACTAATTTTCCACTTTTCCGAATAATGCAAATGGGTTGAAAGTAAAGTGTAAACTATTTAACGTTGACCATTTGGAAATTTGATTAAAGCTTTGATTAAAGTCAATGATTTATCGAAGCAGTGTGCTTGGCAACCATAATAGATTCTCTCTGTTATGATCATAGTAATGTTTTAATTTCAGAAACATTTTATAAAAAATAGTTGGTCCAAAAAGGGAAGTTTCTCTACCGATATGCTAAATTTTCGAACAGAGAAGCTATACACTTCATTTACGTCACTTTTTTCAAAATAAAAGAGAGTTCAGTTATTTTAAAATTCAATGTGTCTTCGTAAACGCGATTTTCTAAAAGGTTCGTTATATAAGATCTGTGAATCGATGATAAAAGTTGCAGATGGTGGAGCTGTAAACGATCAGGGAAATGTTCAATCCTGCTGCGATCTTCAATGTACTTGTTCATTTGAAATATTATTGAAAAAATAGCGATACATATGGATATCTTTGTAACGATTTTCTTATACCCTGTTTAAATTAAAGATTGTAAACGACTGAATAAGTGCAATGACATTGGAAAAATGAAAATATGTTTAATACGATGTAAACTGGAAGAAAGCAGCAGAGTTAAAGTCTTGGACGATGAGAAGTGTACGCGATTCAATGAAAATGGTTTATAAATTAGACAGGACAATCTTACGAGCTGTGGTATCATTACAAACCATCTACAGGTCATTACCATTTTTGTCTAGAGTTCAACAAACTTGTTATACACAAAGTCCACCTCGGCTCTGATAAAGTAACTTTCTTGTGTACACAAAGTTAAACATATATAATCACTGGGATATCAAGTGAAATTATCTGTTTGATAATTTCACTAAATAAAATGTACAGAGTTCTAAATAAGTGATCCAAATTAAATCATCTATAAATTGAAGAGAGTGCAACAATAACTATTAACTATTGCCATAGTACAGTCTTGAACATAGAAACTCCATATATAATAAAATAAATTATAGATACCTGGCGAGAGAAATCAGCACCGATGAGGAATAAAAAAAGAAAGCTGCTGAAACTAAAAATCATAAATGTTCCTTTAATCTACAATGAACAAACCACGTATCGTTTGTTTCGAAATCGCTTGTAAAAGTATGTATACAGAGTAGAAACTGTAATAATTTCAAGATTACCCTAAATAATACGCTTCAGTAAATTATCTTAGACATAGCTCGTGACTGTAAAGGAAACAAGGCTGATTGCTGTGGCGGAGGGCCGACAGAGGGAACACCGTGAATTTCGACTCCACCCTGTCAGCAAAGAGCGAAGCTTCGAGGGCAATACTTCTGATGAACGAAACTATACAACAGACTGAGAATTGTCTCACCGGAAAATGCGCACGCCATACATACAGTTTGTACAATTAAAAAAAGAGAGAAGATACGTAATATAAGATGGAACGATAAATAAGATACAAACAAAAGAGGAAGAAGAAAAAAAAGAAAACAAAGGACGAAACGAACGCGAATCGATTTGAGAACCGGCTAAAAAAGTTCTACGCAGATCTATGCTTAAAAAAGTATAAAAAATCTAGATCCTCGAACGATGCATCAGTGGTTGCACGAGCTTCCTTACGATTAACGATAGAAACGCGGCTCCGAATATGTAAATGCGCTCGTAAGTTTGTCTGCACAGTTCATCGTGATGCACTGAAAATCGGTTGCGTTTCGCGATCGATGCGCGTGTACACGTTAAACCTAAACGCATCCTGGAATGGCCAGAATCAGCCGAGTTCGGCTCTGCACGCTCGGAATTCGCGGTTTCTTCTCGCGTCGCCGCGAGAACGAGATTTTAACAGCGGTTTTCCAATTCGAAAGGAATTGCTCGTCGGACGCGGTGCGGAGGTCTCCATGTTGGAGCGTGCGTTGTTATTCGTTCACGTTGGATGTGTGTTCTCATTGGACATTCTTTCTATTTTAATTGCTAATGATCGATAATCAAATGCAATTGGCGAATGATTGATTTCGAAAGAGAAGAAAATATATTTTCAATGAATATTTCAGCTGGTGTTGTTAAAGTGTCATTTTTTATGAATGACTTATTACGTAGACTTGGAACGTGAACGAACGAAGCATAAGTATTATGCAAGGGCGTTCAGTTGGTTCGAAGATGTCTGTACTGATTATATTAATTATACAAAGTATTGGAATAAAAAATAGGCGAACCTTTTCGTGGATAAACGTTGAAGAAATTTACAATATACTTAGCTGGGTGAATAATCTTTGAAACTACTGAACAACCCCGCAAACATGTACTCACGCACGCGGCAATCAGTGGCAGTAAATGCAAATACAATTATTGGTACTATTATTATGCGACTTTGACAGTGAAATGTCAGCGCGTAACGATAGCGTGTCGCCGTCCTTCGTTCCTCGGTCGCTGATTGAAGAATAAATTAAAACCAGGACCATGAGACTCGCAGGACGTGTGCTCGGTGGCATTCGATTGTGTTCCAAGATGGCGGGGAATTATGTGAATACAAATAAATTATTGATATACCGTTCAAACTGAACTTACCGCTAGGCTTAACGTAAATAAGGGAACAGAGGGTTGAGATACAAAAATAAGGAAATGAAAATGCGTTCGATGTGTGATGAAGGAAAACAATACCGTCGGGAATGTCCGCCATATTGCGATGGGTGGGATATAGTTTGTGTCCAATGGAGGAGAATATTACCTGTCTTTTTTCAACGTCGGTTTCCTATTAATTTAAGATATGATCTCTTTCTCTTCAATTATTTTCTCTTTTTTTTTCAAATACCGTCATAATTCTTTCTCTTGTTGACAGTGATATTGCACCTCCAATGGAATTATTTTGGTCATACATCACCGCGGATATCTTGAAGCCTGTTCGATATCACATCCAGAGGCGACGTCCAGAGAAAACGAGACTTGGTGTAATGCACACGTTGAGCAACTTACGAGGCATTCGCGGGAGGGTGTCCTGCTTCGATATGGCTGCCTCTTGTCAGGACACCCTTGGCTTGCTCGGAGAACGACATGTTCAAATGATATGTACAATTTTAATTAAAAACTGAGCCTGAACTTGCCCAGGCTGAGAATAAATAAAATTTTAAGATTCGATACGTTGTATTCAACCTTCAATCGAGATGTCAAGTATGTCTTCAAATTTACAAAAAAAAATTGAAATATTTAGTTCAAATATTTCTAGATTCAATTATCACGCTTTCCACACGTGATATTCCATTTTCTTACTAATAAGAAAAAATTATATGTACAATTAACTTAATTTTACAGTGAATATCCTCGATTTCGGGCTTGAATAATTTGTCAATTAAGGAACTTATTCGACACTCTGATTCGTTTAAAAATCCGGAGTGCTACGTAGGCCCAGCCTATAACTCTAATTTGTAACACTGTGAATGTAGTGTTAATCGCGGCTAATGTTTTGAAATTAATTGAATAATGGTGTTTAGGCCCAGCCTAAAATTAAATTGACGAGCGGTAAAATATAAATAAATATTTTGATATCCGTTTAAGTTAGATACGTGAGAAACACACGTTCTCCGAGCGTCCTGAAAATTCCTCAGACCCATTTCTCGTTCTCTTCAAACCGGAAGTCACCCCTTTGGTGGCTGAAGACGCGTTTTGACTGCGATTAAACCTGAGCGGGTTTCGACTTGCCGACGACCAGCATTATCTTCTGCAGGAACTTCGTAATGCTTACTGAAATAGGAATGAAACGCAAATATTAAATATCTCTGCAGTAATTTTCTCATTATAGTGAAACAAATTGTTAGTAGACTCTTTTAATTCGACGTGCAGTCATCGAAAAATCTATTAAGAATATATCACATTATCTTTCTATTTTATACAATAAAAGAAAATTTTATAACCTAATCAAAAAATGTAAAACGAAAAAGGAATTACTACTTAATCATTAATCTAATTGGCGACTTAAGTAATCAATTTAATCATGAATCTATTTGATGACTAGACAGTTACTTATTGATTAATCAGTAGAGTTAAAAATTTCACTTTGAATTACGAACGACAGTTGAATATTTTATTGATCATTAAAAAGATTAAATGTTATCCAACACCATCGTCACTGATTATATGAAGACTGCACGAAGAAAGACGCTTAACAAGAGGAGCAATTGGACTTCCTTGCAGAATTAATTTCATAGTTATTAAATACGCTCGTTATTGTCTTTACTGGTGCACCGTGTGTACAAGTTGGTGTGCGTGATGCTTGTTCTGTGAGTGCAGCGTGCAAAATCAATCGTTAAAGATGTTTGTGCAAACTCAAACGTTGAATGACAAATATTGTTCACGATGAAACATATGTATATATCTCGAATAAATCAATATTCTCGAAAGTCTTCATATTAAAGAAAAATAGAAAAATAATTATAAATTACATTACTGTACATCTACGGCAAATAAACATGATGTATTTGTTTACTGACGCGTACGTCGCACGATGATTAAACGAAAAAATAGTAATATATAATCACCATGTACGTTTTTTTCTCAAAATGCCTATGACGGTTACGTATCATGCAACGGGCGATAGAATGAATGAATCTGAAGTCGTTAATGATTGAAAATGAATTTACTTGGGGTAGAGGCATGCACAATGACCGTGAAGCTACAAGCTCGTCGATGATCGCCAATGATTCAAAAAATCAATGCTAAGCATGCGTGACATGACAAGAGTAAAATTTTATGTTAGAGTGTATTCTGAACCTTAATCTTTGGTCCGACGACTACCATCATCTTCTGCAAGGTTTTGGTAACGGCGCCTGCGGGAACAAATCGGTTAAACAGAAACGGAACAAACCAATTAGGTTGTTTAAAATCAATTGACAGGGATCATAAAAACTGAACAAACAATGGATGAAATTGAATGTTTAAAATTGAATTAAAAATAACAAAGGGACGTGACAGCTCTAAGGGATATTTCAATCCTCTCTTTCTTTGCTGGGTGAACTCTGAACTCACCGACTCCTTTCTGGAAGAATTTCGGTTTGTTTTTCCATGAGACGAACACGAAGTACACTGGCACGGACGAGAATATCATCAGGCAGCCGTATCCTGAAAGAATTTTTCGAATGTTTCATTTCGTTGTACCTTGAATCTTTAAGTCTATAATTTTACTACAAATGTATCTTCTTAGGTTCAACAAACGATGAATCTTTTAATTTACCATGACGAATCCGATTTTTTAAAATAAATTTATAGAAAATTCATTTGTTCGTACATGTCGAATATTTTTATGAACACTACATTATAGGAAAGTTGTATCAAAGGCGATTGGAAGTTTGACATGTTTCGTTTCTTGAAATTGGCAATGTGATTCAATTATTAATTATTAATTTGATTGGACATGATTCATTACCTGTTTCTACCGGACTGGCATACATAGGTACAATGGTCACGAAGAGAGTAGCAAGAATGTATATGATTGGGAAGACGAGGTTCACTTTAATAGGCCTGGGCAGATTCGGTTGAGTCCATCTCAGCCATGGTAGGCAGAGTACAGAAACGCCGATGCTTAACTGGAATCAAGATAAAAATGTCCTCAAGTTATTACTTCAAACATTTAAGTATTATACTATGCTACAAATACCTATATAAAATTTTGATTCTAATTTTAATATTATAAATAAACCAACGATTCATTGCCACTCAACTAAACTCGTATTTGATGGCTCTCAGTATTCCTCAATGGCTTCGCCTCAAAAATTAATATTACAAGTAAATACTATAAAAGATAATACAAGTTTCCTAAATAAAACAAGCAACACATTTTTCTTGACTCTTAAAATATTTTTAAGAGTCAAGAATAGCGGTATGCGTTACAAAGCACTGAAGACATAAAGAAACAATATCAAAATATATAAAAATTACCAAAAGCTTGAACACAACTTCAGATGTTATTTAAAAAATCAATACAGTTCATAAGCAAAATATGACCGAAATTAAAAATAAAATTTGTCTTCAAGTTACTTTCCCCAGAAAACACAGTGAGAAACTTTACAGCCAGCGAGATACATAGACAAAAATGTGTACGTACCCAAGTAGCGAAGCCAACGTAGTTGATCAAGGCGAAGATGTCGGAAGAGCAGAGGTACACCATGGACAGGAGGGCCTGAAAGAACAGAAAGTAAGATTTCAATTACTCTTTCCAATTGTTCCCATTTCCTCGGACGCCTACAGACTCAGCCATTCTCATCGGGAGCCGGTGGTGGAGTCCTTTAAGAGTGGAACGCAACGGGGACAGGAAATTGCTGGCGTTAGCTTTGTGAGAATGACTTTCGATTAGAAGCCTAAGAGCGCGTGAACCAAATGTTTTTTGTCGTGACCTAGATACCGTTTCATCTTTTTCCTTCATTTTATTGGGACAACACCGTCTCTCCAAAATGGCGGAAGTTTAAACTTCTCTTTAACTCTGATCTCTTTAAAATATATCAGGAAAGCTTTATTTTGCACAGAAATCTGTGATCTATTTATTTCTTGTTCAGATTGAAAGTGAAATTAGGAGATGGACAAGAGAATAGAATTATAATAGAAGTATTCTATTTTAAAAAAATAATTAGATTACAGGGTTAGATTAACATTTTGTATGTTTGTAGGGTTTTAACGGTTACTCATGGTCCGCCATCTTGAAGGAGTATCAGAGCTATATAGTTCTAGTTTTTAGAGTTTCTAGAATCAATGTGGACAGTTTTTAATAAGAAACAATTAAAGAGACATATCAAGAATATTTGAGATATCAATGTGTACCATGCAAAGGACGGCCGGCGTCGGCGTGAGCCTCGAAGTTTGAATCATCGTCAGTATTTCAGGCATCTGACCCTCGCAAGCTCCCGCGTAGAAGAGCCGTGAAGATGTCAGGAGAATTCCATTCACCGCGCCGAACGTCGAAAGGGCTACGAACACGGGAATTGTCCACGAGAACCATCCGAAGAGGCGATTGGCGAACGTCTGTGCGGGGTTGACAAGATTTCATTAGTTCACACGGAGGAAACGAAATTACTCTCGATTCATTTATTTCTCATTAATTCTTTGAATTCCCTTATTGCTCTTTATCTTTACATCCTCGTATTAATCACTTTGAGACTATTTAAGTACACACGTGCTGAGTATATCTAACGTTTTAATTATTGGGCTACAAATGCGTGTAATGATAATTGATTTAATGAAATTAAAGTGAGAAAGAATATAATTATATTTGGTTTATAGTAGCTTTATAGATACATTGAGTATCTAATTCCTTTGTCTACTGAGAAAGCATTAATGAAACAATTTTTCTGAATCACGAAGCAAGTTGTGAGTGTTAATGATTGATTCAGTTTTTTAATAAACTCACCACCGCCACAGCCTCGCTTCCTAAAACTTCCACAGGACTAAGAGTCGTATAGAAGGCTACGTTAGCGAAAACATAAACCAGAGTGACGAGGATGCACGAGATTCCAATGGCTTTGGGTAAATTTCTGAAATACAACATTATATGAATGAAACGAGTATTACAGTTACGTTAATGTAATTCTCACTTAAAACAATTGCAAGAGTAGATATACATTGACGTTCACAAGTTCCTGACCAGGTTGTTTTTAGAACTCACTTCATATCACATTGACTTGTAATTAATGCAAAAGAATTACCACAAAATACTAAGCGCAATATGTTAAATATTATACATTAAATTATTATTATAATAGAAAACGAGCATTTCTTAAACATTCTAACCAAAAACCTTTGAAATTCTGAATTATTTATTTCTAAAAAATATGTACAAACAACATATGGTTAAAGCCTTTATCGTCTAAGAAAAGCTCCAAAAACGATCTGGAACTTTTGAACGCCGCTTGTATATTCAATGTATTACGTAACAGAGTCAATTCTCAAAATAATTTCGAACGTTCAATTCCTTCGTTAATTCGATCATCGTGAAACAAAGAAATCGAAACGAATTTATATATGTCGGTTCGACGTGAGGTGGTTTTAAATGTGTTTCGAGATCGTAGAAATAAACATCGTTGCATCGCCGCTAATTCAATGCACGAGATCAAGCCGCAAGTTCATTGATCGTTCAAACGATCCTAATCGATCTCGACTATCGAAATATTTGACCTTGACGAGCTTAGGACATGGAGCGAGGGCCCTCGCTTGACCCCCATGTCGGAGTCAATGGAGTTGGGCATTGCGACCGCCACTTTTAATTAATAGATACACAAGACCGGCTGTTGCAATCCCTATTAATCATTGCACGAGATTTCAGCGCTGTCCGGGTTACACTAGTTAATTCCTCCGGGGCGGTATTTCCAGTTCTTTATTTTTCTAAGTGAATTTCATTGGCACGGGGAGCGTTACATAAATCCAAGCCTCATCGACGACGTACAGTACGCGGCGCGAAGGGGGAAAAAAAAAGGTGAAAGTCGGTCGCGGAATTTTCAATTCGCGCAGCTGCGCTGAGAAACTTGCGGATTTATCGTTTCTGGAAAATGTAAGCTTTCGAGTTTTTCGATATGCGAGTTGTTTCATTTCTTTTGATTCTTTGACCGCGTGGCTTTGAGAGTTTCCGAACAGTAAAATGTTCGACTACTCGAATTGAAGGCTTTCGGAGTTCTCGTATATTCAAGTTGAGCAATTTTCGGATATCCTAATATTGAAAGGAGCTAATTCTTTCAATTTTCTGAGGATATAATTGACGAATCTGTTTATTAACAATGTTTGAATAGTTGAATTTCGAAATTCTTCAATTTTCGAGTACTCTAAACCGAAATTTTAGTGTACGTATTTCAACATCTACAGTTCGAACGTCCATTTTCCGCAATTTTATATTTTCCAATGCTTCAGACTTTATTATTTTAAATTGTATTCTAAGGTACTTATCGTATAGGAAAGAAACAAGAAGAAATTAGGAAAGTATAGTCGAGTAGATTCGAATGTCGTGACGATCAGTTCGAAAGGAAACGGTCAGAACAATAATTTCGTTCGGTTCCAAAGCAACTCTCTACTTTCTTGTTCTCTTAATCACAATGGAGAGTAGATTCTTGTCTAATTGAGATCAAAACAGTTCGGCCCAATCAAGCAGCTGTTCCCATTTGCGTTAACTTTTATGGTTACTTCTACAATCACTGCATCCTTTAAGATTCGCCCTAAATGACCGTCTGTCCTAATTAACAGGAATCCACGATATTCGTACAATACATTAAAATATCTTTCATCGCGAAACTGATTTTCTCGGAAGATGTTCCTGCGCGAAGACCATTCTCGAAAAGATCAAACGTTCAATTACAATTGAATCGTCGATCTTTCTCAAGCATCCTTAAAATCACTTATCAGTTGCATACTTGACTGGGTCCTTGAGCTCCTCGATGATGAAATTCAGGTAATTCCAGCCATTGTAAGCGAACAGTCCCGAATAAAAGCTGAGTGCTATTGACGTCACTTCTGTGTTCGTGTTCTCGAACGTGAAATACTGCGTTTGTCCTGGAAAACGAGTTAGAAATCGATCAACCACGCGAACAATTAAAAAAAAAACCAAACATAA